GGATTATGCTGTAAATGTTTAATGCCAGGGATCTATGAGCCACTGATGACTGGAGAATGGGTCTACAGCCAGCCTGTGACAGGCCACTGGCACCCATTCCTCGGATGTGTCTTGCAAAGGACCCGCAGTGGCCATAAGAGCCTGGGATTTGCTGATAACACTCTTCTCTTCAAATAAGGTGGCAGAAGAAGGGCACTGCTAACTTCAAGTTTCCAGTCTAACACCTATATAATACCAATCTGAAACAGGAGGCTCTTTCTCCCCACGAACAAATGAGTCATCTAAGATTAACTTTCTTCCTGCCTGTCAGTTCCTTACCCTGACACCACCGGTGCCTCTTACCCAGCGTAAGGGCAGCAGCACTAGTGCAGTCATGCTGCTGGAATTTTAATCACCTCCCCAGTAACTTTTTTCAGAGCAAATTTAGACCATAGTGCTAAAATTATCAGCAACTTCTGACAATCCACCTATATAACCATCTACTGATGCTTAGAGGGGTAATGCCACAGAACTAGCAATAACGAGGAATACAATGACAACTATCTAGATAGGCTTTCAGTAAATTTGTTACAGTCCTCCTTTCTCACAAATTTCAGATTTTATTTCCTGCCCCCTTCCCTTATCCCTGTACAGAAGCATCGCTGGGTGCCTAACGTGAACTTGGAGGTGGGTGCCAAAATTACAGCTGTTGCAGTGCTGAGTGTGACAGACCGTATGGTTCTCTGCTGAACGCGTGACCTGCAGTGGACAAAGCACAAACACACTACTTGAAGTGAGCAAGGGCCACAGAGCCAGCAGCCCTATGCAAATAGAGCAGAGCAAGCAACAGTGAAGGGTCAAAATCCTTACAGAATTTGATCAAAAAAAAAAAAAAATCAGTGAAAAAGATACCATCGCCTCCACTGCTGAGTATATTAAACCTGGTCAGAGCTTTTGAGAAGGCAAGAAAGCATGTGTCACAGCTGTGGCAGCTGAATGGCTGTATTCCTCCTGCATCTTATTAGAGGGATTTGTCCCAAGACTTAATTGGCAATTTCACTATTCCTTTTTTGTTTTGTTTTCGCCGCCTTTGCTGTGGAGAAGGCACCAGCATAGCAGGGCTGCAAATTAGACCGTAGGTGCGTTGCAAATTCCAGGGGTTCATTTTTCACAGAAAGTCAAAACCACCTTTAAGTACATAAAGCAGCTGTCCCACCACCACACTCTGACAGTAAGCCTGCCATACTTTCGGTTAACTTCTGGCAGACAGACAGGGACTTAGATCTCTTCCAAGACAGTCAAAGAATAATGAAAAAGCAACTTTGATGCTACCTGAAACCAAACTATTCAAAGCACATTGCCTGCATTCCTCAGCTGCAGGCACTGAGCCAGGACATGGAGATAATCATTCGGGCTGGCAATGGGGGAGGGAGAAAGGAGCTTAAGGACACGAAAGCTGAAGTACTCTGGTCAAGAAAATCTAAACAGAATTTAATCTGCAAGGAATCCGTACAGTCGTGTTTCTCTCCCATCCTACTCCCATTAGGTGCATTAGAGAATTAAAATAGTCACGGATATGGCAGTATTTTTTTTTTTCCTTTATTGCTTGTCTCTTTTATCTTTTCCATAGAAAATGAGAATATATATATCAAGCAAAGCATTTCTCGCTCGTATTGCACCACTTTTCCAACTGTGGCTAACATTCCCTGTTTCAAGAGGGCAAATTGCCCAGCCAACAGTGGAACATCTTACATGGGGGAAAGGTTTCTCCTCATCTTCTCCCAATCACGAACTGCGCCCTGCAAGCCTGAGATTTGATAACCATAATTACCTTACTTTTATATATCTACCAATACAGGTACATCAACCCAACACAAGTCAGTTCTTTCAACACTGCAGCATCTGTTCTTTGACTTGATAATCTGCTGCAGCAGTGAAGTTTGCACATTGTAGAAAAAATTCTGTAGTGGTTGAAAAAGGCCCCTGGGACATTGAGCTCTTTTTCTCCTTGTGTTATGAAAGCTATCAGGGGAAAGAGGGAGAGCGGCAGCATCTCTGTGTCACTACAGTATCCAGCAGCAACTTTCTACGACTCAGCTACTTCAGGGAAAGTTCCTGGAAATGTCTTAGTAATTCTAACTATGGATTCAACTCCACCAATTATGGAAACTTTAAAGTTGTTAACAATAGCTAACATGCCCCGTCCGTTCCAGCTATCGTGTCATACAGATCTATCCCAAGCAGGTCTACATGGCAAGAACAGCAGCAGTCCCTGCAGAACTTAATAAACTTCCTCAAGTTGGAGAGCCAACAAACTAGAGAATGGTGTATTTGTGGCCTTACCTACCCTACGGCCCTGCAGGGTGGTGTGCCAGCAGAATCTGTGTTCTGCTTCCTTTTCAATTTCCAGCAAAGATGGCCTTAAAAGTGGGTTGTGTATGATATAAATCACTACTCCAGGGGAGAAGATCAACCCAAGTGGCACATATTCTGGCCTTCAGCTTTTGCCCCCTTGTATGTAGGGACCAACAAAGAATGCCCTGTAGGCAGATACCAGACTTTGTCTTCTAGGGCTTTTCAGGCACAAGAAGACTTGACATTGGAAGCATTTCATAGAATCATTTGGTTGGAAAAAACCTTTAAGATCATCAAGTCCAATCATACCTGTCCACTACTAAAACATGTCCCTAAGCACCACATCTACACGTCTTTTAAATACCCCCAGGGATGGTTACTCCACCATTTCCCTGGGCAGCCTGTTCCAATGCTTGACAACTCTTCTGGAGAAGAAATTTTTCCTAATAGCCAATAAAAACCTCCCCTAGCACAACTTGAGGCCATTTCCTCTTGTCCTATCATTTGCTACATGGGAGACGAGACCAACACACACCTCACTACAAACTCCTTTCAGGCAGTCGTAGAGGGCCATAAGGTCTTCCCTCAGCCTCCTCATCTCCAGACTAAACCACCCCAAGTTCTCTTAGCCGCTCCTCATAAGACTTGTGCTCCAGACCCCTCACCAGCTTCATTGCCCATCTCTGGACCTGCTCCAGTGCCTCAATGTCCTTCTTGAACTGAGGGGCCCAAAACTGAACACAGGATTCGAGGTGTGGCCTCACCAATGCCAAGTGCAGGGGAAGGATCACTTCCCTACTCCTGCTAGTCACACTGTTTCTGATACAAGCCAGGATGCTGTTGGCCTCCTTGGCCACCTGGGCACACTGCTGGCTCACGTTCAGCCGGCTGTTGACCAGAACCCCCAGATCTCTCTCTGCTAAGCAGCTTTCCAGTCACTCTTCCCCAAGCCTGTAGCGTTGTATGGGGGTGTTGTGACCAAAGTGCAGGACCTGGCACTTGGCCTTGTTGAACATCATACAATTGGCCTTGGCCCATTGATTCAGCCTGTCCGGGTCCCTCTGTAGAGCCTTCCTACCCTCAAGCAGATTGACACTTCCACCCAGCTTAGTGTCATCTGCAAACTTGCTGATGGTGCACTCAATTCCCTCGACCAGGTTGTTGATAAAGATGTTAAACAGAACTGGCCCCAACACTGAGCCCTGGAGAACATAATTTGTGACCAGCCTCCAACTGGATTTAACTCCATTCACCACAGCTCTGGGCCTGGCCACCCAGCCAGTTTTTTACCCAGCAAAGAGTACACCTGTCCAGGCCATTGAGCAGCCAGTTTCTCAATCAGAATGCTGTAAGAAATGGTGGGAAAGGCTTTACTATTTTACTTTTATTTCATCACAAGAGGGTGGTCAAATCCTGAGAAAGGCTTCCTAGAGAGATGGTTGATGCCTCATCCCTGTCAGTGTTTAAGAGGCATTTGGACAATGACCTTAATAACATGCTTGAACCTTTGGTCAGCTCTGAATTGGTCAGGCAGTTGGACTATATGATCATTGTAGGTCCTTTCCAAATGAAATAGTCTAGTCTATTCTATTCTAAGAAGGAAGTAATTCTGAATTGTTGTCCCCCAGTGCTCAGCAAAGTTGAGCAGTGTAGAATGGTGAAACTGTAGAAAAGGATTTGCATTCATAGAACTGAAAGGCAGAACGAAACACCCCAAAAAGTGGTTCCAAAGAACGTCTTGGGAACTGCAACTGCAGGACTAAAAAATCTTCTCCATGGTCAACTGCAATGGCAGCACAGACAGTAACAAGGGCATCTTTGGCGTCTTTGCCTTTGCTTTTAAGAGCAGATCATGTGCCGACAGCACAAAAGGGTACAAAAACAGTAGAAAAGAAATAACAGCTCGGCGTGTCCTGGCTTCCATGCAGAGTGTTATGTACTCATTTAGAACCTAATATACAGTCTGTTCCTACTCTAAATGCATACGTAATACAAATAAAATACATTTAAAGAACACTAAAAACATATAACATGAGAATTTTGGAGAGTGTCTTACCTTTGACCCAATAAGTGTGTACAGCCATTGGATGGTTTCATTGTGATTTATTACTCCATTCATGCCATCGACATAGAGCATAATCTGGCCCAAAGCTATTATAAAGAAAAGAGATAAAATATAATCAGTCCTGGAGAAAACTTTTTATAATCCTAAGTATTGCTGGAAAATTTCTCTAAGCAGGGTTTTCCAGGGACATGGGGAGCTCAACTAACGAAAGACGTATTGGGCAACACGGCGCTGGACAAAATCCTGGGCAACTGAAGCAACTTTACTGACTTCATCTGGATGATATAAACGTGAATTTCATCCAGGGACAAGAACAGGCACTTGTTCCTTCCTAGAAGATGCCACATATTATTACCCCCAAATCTGCAAACAGTACGCTACTTTCTGTCTGCTGCTTTCTGTCGCAACAGTTCCCATCAGCTACAATGCTTTACATCTTGTGAGCCAAGACTTTCACCATTCGCTTCAGTGCCATATAATGTTTGGAATTAGTATGTTTGGATTAAGTTGACTACTTCAGTGAATTCCAATAATATGAAATGGAAGCAGGGCAATTAACACCAATAAGGACAGCAAATATTCACCACTGCACAGTGCTGTCTTGCAAATGAGTTTTGCGTTTTAGTGAGAAAATTCAACAAACGAAGGACGGTTAACAAAGAAGCATCTTTTTTTCATTTATTCTAAAGCATTAACAACAACATTTCAAAACATGCTAGTAAAATATTTCAGAACAGTAATTCCATAGTTTGCAACCCGGACCATATGAGACTTTCTAGAAACAACAGCTCTTAAAACTTTTTTGACTGATAAGGACAGACATTTCTTGTAAGGATTATGAAAAGTGGATTAGCAAAATTCATCTATCATCTTCAAAAGTTTCCACTGTTAGATCTTGTGCTGTATAGCAGGAGATCAAAGCACAGTGGGATGAAAAAGAAATCACTGATGTAACACCTTTCAGCACAGTCTGTAGGCATAACAACTCAATTACCTAATGCACAATCTGATGAGCCCCTAGTATGCTGCTTTATGGGGGGAAGAAAGGAAAAAAACCCACAGGTTGAGGAAAATTACGATGTTATTAATCTTCCAAACACATTCCGAAGGTTTGCTAACTTTTGCACAGGTTGTACACAGTGCAGCACCATTTCCTTGAGGGCAGATTTTCAAAGACATGAATGTTAGGCAAGCACTTAAGTACCCCTATAGTTAAGCAGCTCACTTTCGTTTTTACATTGTCTCCTCCTTTTCCTTTGCTCTAGTTGGTTGACTTACAGGTAAAAAAACCCAAGGTACTAATTTTAGGTACTTATACTCCTTATCTAATCTGTTATACCAAGCTAGAAGCAAAGTTACCCTACATGGTCAATGAAGACAGAGAAAAAGCGAGCAAGAGGGCTACAGCATGGAGATAACTCGTATCTCGAGCAGGCTGCGTTGCCACTGGGGTGCCACTGCCCATCTCTCTCTGCTCCTCCTCTGCAGGAAGCGATCATTCACCACCCTCTGAAGACACATGGCTCAGGTGAGTAACATTAGGTGGGAGAGACACAGGCCCAAGTGTTAAGTTCCAGTAAAAGATGCAAGCTGGTCAGCAAAAAGAGATAAGAACTGTACTGGCTGAATAAATGGCTCCTTTGTAGCATTTCCTTGCAGGTAGAGGAAAGAGGAGAACACTGCTATCCCAGTGGTAATCAGAGTTCTTAATTCTTGTTTTTACTTCCTTTCAATGCTAAAATGATTTGGCCCTTGATCAGGATTGAGATCCAGTCATGATAAGGTCACCCCCTCTTTTTTTTTTTTTTTCCTTGCAAATTCTTTGGTTGGGGTTGAAGGGATTTAATTTGAATTTGAAACAAATGTGAAACAAATTTTACTCTTGCCGCATGCTTTCCAAATTAATACAGAAATCAAAGACAGCAAGAAGTCTGCTTTTAAAGGGAAAACATGCACATGATATAAAAATCACTCCACTGCTTATATTTAAGAACAGTTAGACTGGATGCGTAAGTGAGATCTGGGATGCATTACTCTTCAGCCTTTTAGATGTGACTCTTCCTAACAACATTAGGTTAAAGCAAATTAGTAGACCTTAGAGAGAAGCCTCAAAAAAGTTTTAGGGATTCTGACAATTTTCATCTGCTACCACTAATCTTGCCCCCCCAGACCCTCCCACCACTTTTTTTTGGTCATTATCAATGCTATTCCAAGTATATGATACTAACCCTATCTTTCCAGCAACAGAATGGGTCCTTTGGGCATAGGTGAAAAATTAGTAACACATAAAAAGCCACTACTGCTGCCACTTGAACAAGCGGCCAATAGGCTTCACAGGACAAAGACTTAGAAAGAACGCCATGAAATGGCCAAGATGAAAGACAGGTTTGCTATGGAGTCATGCTGTCCACATAAAAGTCATTACTCCAGTAATTATCTGCCATACATCAAGTTATCAGCTGCTGACAGACCTTGGCGTGGAGCCTCATATTGCTATTTCCTGTCTTCAGGGGTCAGAAAATGAAAGCAAGACATGGTAGGCGGGGTTGAGGAGAAATCAGCTTTCATTATGAGGAAGAGTAGGTTAGGGAGAATCTGTATGTACAAAGGTGATGCCTTTTCATACCACGTCAAGTATCTGTGCTGAGGAAGAAAAGCTAATACCTAGTAACCACACAACACCGCAGCAAAATGGAAGAAGACACCAAAAACGCTAGTGTAGGAGCAGACTGGTGGACTGGAGGTTCTCAGGCTCTCCCAGGGCTCGGGTCTGGCTGAGTAGGGCACACCAGTTTTGCACTAAATGGAGACAGACTGGTCACAGAGCACTCCGCACCGTTTTATTTTCTTTGCAGCTTTCCTACTCAACTGATAGCGAACCTCCTGGCCCATGATCGTAGTCTGCTGAAATGGCTGCAGCTACAGTGCAAACTCCACACACCCACTGCCCCACACGTGCGTGTCTGCATGCGTGCACACCCACCGCCAACACGCAGGGCCTTGCCACGAAAGAGCATGCTAATTTTCAAGGCAATTGGAGGTTGTTTGGAAGGCCAATCTAGTCCAAAATCATTTAAGTTTGCATTTGTACGTGCCTTCAACCAAACTTTTTTTCACTGAAAAACGAGGAGGCTATTTAATCCATTTAATCCCATCTCTCAGCTAACTGGAATTCTTTTTGGAAGTATATCAACAACCTACTTGCATTAGGAAAGCTTGCTATTGTGCAACAGGGGGCTAGGAGAGGGGGGTTTAAATACGTAGCAGACTTAATTTGGAATTTCTTTGTTCCCGCTACCCTTGTCAAACCCTTAATCTTATGTGAAAGTAGTGTGTGACTTTACCCATAGCTATTTTCAAGTGGAAAATTGCTGGATTTCTTAGGAAAGGCTTAAGCTAGAAAAGGACAGACCAGCCAGAAACTTCATAGATTTCTGTGAAATAAGGGGTTTAAGAAAGCCTCTAAAAACTTGCCAGTATTGGCACTGATATTCCCCTGGGATCTTTCTTATATAAAAGTTAACAGAACCAAAGGGGAAAAACTCTAGCACAAACCATCATCACGATGAACATCACTTTAAATAAAAGCCTATTTTTCCTACTCAGCGTCAAAAGTTTCAAAGCAGTTTCTTGCCCACACACCTGCTTCTCTATTCTATCTGCTTCGTATTTTACCGCAAGACTAACTTAGAGAAAACAACAGCACTGAATAAGCAGAAACGCTATTTTCTTACAGTTTCCTGCGAGTCAAAACCCCATTCATCACGTCCAGAATTACGGCAGGGATGCATCTTGTGACTGCATTTGTTTCCATCAGAGTAAGCAAACGTACAGGGTGAAGCAGGCCAAAGCCAGGCACTGTCACCACAGGTTTCAGCTCCCGAGGAAGCTTCTGGCCCAAGTTCCTCAGGCGCTTCATAACCAGCAGCCGTGGTGCGCGTGATGCACTGGTGCACGACAGCAGGCGAGCATAAATGACTGGCAGAACTGTGATGAAACTAACGGGGGAGAACCAGCTGTTAGAAGTCATCTTCCTCATTGCTAGTTAAAAATCTTACTATCATCAATGAGAAATTAAGGGTCCATGTGACTGTCTTCATTCCATTTGAAAACAGATTACTAGCTTATGTACGCTATCCTGGGCACGGAAAAGGCACGCTCCATCAAAGTAAAAGTCTCGATCAAGAACAAAATTTCAGAATCTGCCTAGTGAGGGATCTCAAGAGGGAGAAAATACAGTTACCTAGTTTTCTATTACAAAGCAGGGGGGATAATTCTGAAGAAAAAAACCAACCAAACAAAACAACTACCTCAAACTTCTTCCCCTGTGTTTGCTCACTAGAAAGAAGCAAGAGCTCAGCCGCCAAGTGGGTCTGCCCTGAACATAAAATCTGCAGCTCAGGTCAGCCCCGACATGCTGGACACTGGGAGCTTCTACTTTTGCTTGTAGCACATTCCCGCCGACAGTGCTTGCACAAGCACCCTCGGGGAAGAGTTTATCACCTCCGTAATATCCAGGGATATTGTGTAGTCTTTTCGCTGATAAGAAATCATTATTAAATACAACTTTTGTACCATACAGCTACTTGAAAAGTAACAAAATCACAGCAGAGCTCCTTGCTTCTAAGCGGTGACATCAGATAAAATAGATGACCTGGCCTCTCTGCTGCTTCTGAAAATGATCTTACAAAGCAGCCCCATGCCAAACCTTATGACTCACACTCATTCCACAGGGCTAGAACCAGCTAAAATTTTTAGGTTTGGGGTTTTGTTTGTTTTGCTTTTTCCTCTGTTACTATTCATATGGGTTGGTTTTAAGCTTTAGGGAAAAACGTGCTGTTTATACACCTATTCCCCTTTCTTTACTCCTGTTGAAGATATCTGTAATGTCATCTAGGAAGATAAAAACAGCCTTATTCTTGGCCACAAATGCATGAATATTTTGTTTCCTATCACAGTGTCTTTAAATCCCAACTCTTTTCTTAACCTTGTCTTTTTTCCTCTGTTCATTTGTTCTTTCCATTATCACACACATCACGGTTGAAACATGCTAAGAAATTAATTTTCAGCGC